AATGTAATGGCTCTTCGGTGTACATCAATTTCATTCGTTATGTTAAAACTTGTTTAAACCAGTAACAGAATATAACTGCTTTATTATTAGTAACATTTCTTTAGAATTACCCTTATAATTTCAATAGTTACTATTCATATAAAGAAAAATATTAGGAAGGAAACTAATTTTATATTCTCGGGGTTTTTCTTATTAAATAATCCATAATCGTAATAGATTTTTTTTAAATTTAGTTAACTGTTTGCATTTTCAACATTTTTTCTTAAAAAGAACTCATATTTAAAATTAAATGTTATAAGAATGTATGTAGCAAAAAATAAGAAATGTTTCGTGACAATGTTGACTCTTTTATATGGCAATACACCTTTTGTTTGTTTCATTTTTAGAAAGTGCGATTATTTTTAATAATTTCAATAAATCAATTAAAATGAGCCTTTTTTTTTTCTTTTTTTTTTTTGCAATTTATTGCAACATATCACTTCTATGATATGTTTTACGGTCTTCACAAATATTTTCTTCTCTGTCATTATCTAAAAGAATAACAACAAAAAAATCAGTAGAAAGAAAAATACCATAAAGAAATAAGAAATTTTAATATTTATTTTGAACTGTAATTATTTATAAAGAAAATGAAAATGCATTATAAAGCCAAAACTTACTCGCCATTACCGTTAAATATGATTTAGAAAACTTCTTCATATTTTTTTAACCTTATTCAACAAAGCCCTGAATTTAGCAAAATTGATCATTCTTTACACAAAAACATTAAATAAAAGTATAAATTAATTGATACAAGAAAAAACAATGAGCAGTGTGAAAGTAAAGCTAACGATAAGTATCCAGGTTTTTTCTGTTTCTTGGCTTAAATCCAGAGCTGTACTATTCAATTAAAATGAGGGCAGTTTGTGCCAAAGAGCCCTTTTTTTAAACCATTAATCTCAACTTTTTTCATAATGTTCATTTTGTTGTATTTACGAACAAATTTAGTAATTGATTCTGCCCGCAAAACATTTCTTCATGGCTTTTCTAATAGACATGGTATTATGTTTATTGCAACTCATGCCACATAATTTCAAAGCAAGCATTAAACTAATCTCAAGAAAGTAGTAAAAATGGTTTTTTAGGTTTGAGTTTTTTATTTGATTCCTATCTATAAAAAGAAGCATAGTTAGAAGTTTCATCTTAACGTATATTTTTTCACCTAAGTTTACATGATACGTTAAAATGTAGTAAAATTTATTCGAAAACCATTTAGGGATTTTCTGCAGTGGCTTTTCAATAAAAAAAATATTGCTCTTTTTTACAAATAATTTAAATTTGTATAAATAGCAGTCAATAATTGTTGCCCTGAATATCTATTTTCAGAAATCATACAACAAATTTAATAATTATGTTACATTATAAGACAATTACAATTATAACAAATATTAAATTGCAATCACATAATTTATCTCAATTTAATTTTTAATGAAAGAAATAACAAATTCAAAAACTATTGTGGTATTTACTTTTCTTATATTTATCCTTTTTAGTATATATTTCTGTTATAACAAAAAATTAATAAAGGACAAACCAGATTTAAAAAATGCATAAACTAATCATCCAATTTTTAAAAAATCTTACAATCATCGCCAGAATATTACTTAGTTAGCCAGTTCTGACATTTTTCTATACTACTAGAGTCATTAGAATGTAAGGCATTTTCACTAACCAACTAACTATTCCTTTCATTTTATTTCATTATGAGCAAAATTATACGATCATTTCACTTACTTCAACTCCTCATCTCAAAAATAATATAAAAATAATAAATATAATACATCTTTGGAAGCAAAGAAAAAGGAGACGAGAGATTCTTCTCTAGCGGAGAGAATATGTGCCGTGACTTGACTTGCACGTACGACGATTGTGACGTCATCAGAGGTAGTCCTAATGATCTAGACGGCATTCTTTCTAGCTTCTAGCTCTCTTCTTTATGAAATCATTTAATGGAGTTTCAGTGAAGGCGATAAGTTACGTCTTTAGCAAATTGTGTTGGTCACGTATTTCGCCAGAGAAAAGAAATAATATATTTGTGGACAGTTTAACGTAATAGCACTACAAAATGGTTTATCTGTCTAGTTTTGTTTGTGTGACGATTATTGAAGCTAACGGGATGGTTTATTTTATAGTTTATTAGAAAAAAATATAAATAAATGTAGTCGGCTTAAATATGGAGTTATATTGATATTTTTATAATATTTGATATTGAATAAATAGATATTGAATTTATTTTTATATTAAATATATATTAGTCTAATATTTTTTATTTAAATTAAATTATATGCAACTCATGCAACTCTTAGTTATCAAAACACATTTTTTTGTATATCAATGATTATTTTCTCAAGGTATGAATTTTTATTTATAGATAAATTATAAATAGATAATTATAAAAGTTATCAATTTTGGTTCTGAATGCTTCTTTTTATATTTATGAAAGAGAATTTAATATTAAATTTAAACATTTATGTGATTGCAATTTTTAAATGTAAATTAATTTTGAGTGAATGTGAGTGTGTTATTTGAAAAGAGATGAACCAGAATTCTATTTAAACACTAGAAAATCAGTGGCTATCTTAAGAAAATATTGTTTCCTTAAAAATATTATTGACTTTCTAAAACAATTTTCATTTTAATAAGAGTATCTGTCCAACTTTAAATATATATACAAATATGCCAGAAAATAAATCATGAAAAGGCATAGAATTTATAAGACTTTGATTATTTTTCGTTGAAAATATCATTTTCAAGCATCCAAACATTATATTTGGATGCTTGATTCAATTGCTTGATGCAATTCATTTCTTTTATATTCAAAAATAAACGTAAAAAGATCATTGCAGGGAAATATTTAAAAAAAATTAACTATCTAATTGTCATATTAAAAGACACATTTTTTCCAGTTAAAATTTCTCTATGCTTCACTTTTTACAGCATAATTTTACGTTTAGCATGACATTTTGTATGTAATAGCTGGACTCACATCGAACAACGAGTTTCTTTAGTTTAGTTATATAAGCGTCGAGTCTCTTTAACTAACGACCACCATAGTGTTAACACTAAATATCCCTATTTATAGATGATTTTTTTTAACGGCAGGCACTGAACTTTCTTTCTTCGCCTAGGAAGATGCCGGAGTTGTTACTCATTTAACGTTACCCAGTGGGCACCTGTGAACCTAAGTCATGGAGGCGAGCAACATTACCCACGCCACGCTGCCACATACCCGTTTTATAGGGTGGGCCACATTCACACATCACACAATAGAGAACACACAGAGAAACATCCATGCCCTGAGCGGGATTCGAACCCGCAACCATTCGCTTCACAGTCAGGCACGCTGACCGCTCGGCCACCTGGCCGGCATTTATATCATAGGTTAATCATAGGTTATATCATAGGTATATCATAGGTTATATCATAGGTCACATGAATCATAGGTTAGATTCTTCTATCTTCGGTGATAGATGAATCTCAAGCTAGATTCCTTTATTCCCAGGGATACATGAATCCTACGTTATTGATATCAAGCTACTTCTTGATATCAAGCTAACTGCATGAGGCTCAGCATAACTTACTCTCCATGTAACTCAAATACAATTAAGTTTTTTTCAAAAAAGTTTTCCGCGAAAGTAAATATGTCTTAAGACCTAAGCCAATGTTTTCCTTAGCTTAATAGTTAGATTCTAAGTTATAAGTCTATGAGTTGATAATAAATATGCTAGCTAAATATGCTCTTGTACTCCACAAAGACCACATTTTTAAAGCTGGCTATATAAAAATATGTTGCGACTCTTTTTTTTTATTACTATTATTACATTTTCTTTGGTGAAAGAACGTGATTTTTATAGTGCTAACTTCGAACCACATGACAATTTTCGCCAGTGAAAGTCATATTTATGGGGTTGTTAAAGTTTCTCAAGTAGTAATTTCTTTTTCAAAACAGTGGTATATATATTTAACTGTAAAATTCTAACTTTTGCACTATGCAACATGCTAATTCTATAGTAGCTCTAGCCATTTTGTTTCAAAAATTACTTCAATTTAAATTCTATTTCAATGTTAAAATTTACAACATAAGGTTTTAAATATTAAAAATTAATTTTGAATTAACATTTGTAAATAAAGACTTTTCGGTCGCTTGTCAGTCCCAAGTAATCCAACCGATCAGGATGTGCAAGCCATTACGCTGGGTGAAAATATTGAATTTTGTCAAGTTGCTTGCAGTTGAGAGCTGTAGAAGTGGACTCAGAACTTTTAGCGTACGTTACAGAACCGTTTAGCGTGCTTACAGAACCCAATTGTTTGGTCTTCTGGTGCAACAGCGGCTGCTGTCCTTGAACCTGGTGGCTAAAGCAACTTCTTTATTTGCAAAATATTTCATTCGATGCAAGAATTATGTTTTAAAGATCTAATTCTTGCACCAAGAATTAGATCTTTACATTTGATCTAGCAATGACCTATATAGGCATATTTTCATTTACATTTTCTTATTATAAATATAGCGATGTTATTGTCTTATTCCTGCACTAGTTAATAATGGCGTTAAAAATGTAAAGTAATCACAATACCGAAAAATCATTTTATGTATTTTAAAGGCAGAATTTATCACATGACCCAAAATTTGACTTTAAGTACCTATCACATAATATTTTATTCTGACGTAGAAGATTTTACTTTTGACTAATAAATGAGGATAGCTAAACTTATTTCCCGTAAAAAAATTATGACAGTTTCGGGTAATATATATCTATTATAGTTTTTTGATGCCTCAATATAATGCAAATAAAATATGCATTTTAAACAGTTATTTACAAAATAACTCACGATTTCCACGATAAATTCTTTTATTTACTGCCATATATTCTCTTACTTTTGACGTTGCTGATATGTAGGATTCTTTCAACCAATTGAATCATAAAATACAATTTGGTTGGGGAAAAAAATAAACTCAGCAAAGTGCAAAATTGGCAAAAATTTTGCTGGAGTTGAGTGGGAATGAGGCGAAAGATTCTGGAAAAACGTTTCCCGTCCCTGGAATTTATCCCAAAAATAGGAAAGCACTTTATACAGCAAAGTGATACTATTTCCCGAGAATTGCCGTGGGGTAAATCCTTCTCCATCTTCTTCTCTCAAAAAGAGGATACAGGAGGTAGGAGAACCAGTTACTCCTAACTAAATAGTACGATGTGCTGGGGGGAAGTAAGCCCCCACCCTCGCAACAGGAAACTTGAATGCACGAAGAAAGTAAGAGCTGGGGACTTAGCCGCTATAGCAGCAGCTTGTGGCTTCCTATAGATTCTGTTGCTATGGAAACTGTCACGTGAGTGAACATTTTGCAGCTCCACCCCCATCCGTTCGAATCGCGTCCCTCCTCCTCTTCACTGCACCCCACCCTCGAACTCGACGAAAGGCATTGTGGGTGAATCGCGAAAGAGATGCCTCTGTTCGAATGAGTTGGATGAGTCCGTGGATGTACGGTGAGCGGTGCGGAGCATCATTTGTTCAACAACCCCCATCAACCGCTACTATTCGAACATGGAACACCCAAGGATCAAACCTCGCCAAAGTCCGCACAAGTCCGATCCGCATCATTCTCTTCTCAACTGTTGATTTGAGAGAGAGTTGGAAAGTTTGGTGGAACTCTCGCCAAACGCAATTCTTCCGAACCATCTGTTGATGAAAAGTTGGCATTTTTTTTCCCTCGGAAAAGTTTAAACTTTTCCAGAAGCTAATCGCACTGACACAATCAAAGGACAATTCTTTTTTCCTCCGATTTGAAACATTAAGGATTTAGTTACTCGCGGTTGCATTTTATATGGACTGTTTCAAATTGTTTTAAATACGGGTGTTAAGTGAATTTTGATTCATCATACCGGGGCTATTTCAAAGTGGAATTAGACGTTGGTTGTAGCTACATTGTGATATAGCGACTTACGGAAGGCTGTTATTTAGAGTTTAGACCTGTTGCTAACTGCAAAAGCATATTTAGATAATAGTGTTATAGTATCATAGCTTCTAAAACATATTTACGCCTTATCATTGTATATTATATATAGTTAAAAATATGAGCTGTAGTATGTACACAATGCTCTCTTACTACTAAGGAATTGAAAGTGATAATTGTTAAATCAAAGAGCATTTACTTAGCTGCTTGTAGATAACTCACACTATTTATCCCTTGCACAATAAACAATCTTCTTCAATAAAATAAATATATATATATCTTGTACTTATAAACTGATATTTAATAAAAAGGTGATTTGATTACTTTTGAAAGCGGATGAAATTTCGAGATTAAATATAGTCTGAAGTCAGAATTAAATATCGAGCAGAGAAAGATTCTGGAATTCGATTGCCTTTCCTGCCTAGTGAAGGAATTCGCAAAAGAAAACAAAATCCAGGAGCAGAACTACCCCTGGTAGCGTTCAAAGCAAGACTGCCAACACTTGTTGAAAGCTGCCGCTAGTTGGCGGAACAACAGGTATAGCGGCACACGCATTTCCGACAGCCTGGTGTAGATTCATCTTTGCGGCCGACAAAGGAAGATCAGCATCGGCGGACAGAGGATCAACTCTGTAGACTCAGATCTGCAGAGGGAGGACAAGAGGTAAGATCTTTATGTCTCTGAATGATTTCTATGTCCGCCATATGTTCTCGGAAGAGACGCATCACTAGGAAATAAGGTGTGCCGGAAATTATGGCGGTTCCTTTTTTTTATATAACGAAAGATGCTTTGAGCTCAACGACGCATCGATTCTTGTCGACAGGCATGTTTTATCGTTCGTCGCGACTATTCGTAGATATGCAGATTTCTTGAGGTGGAAATTGAAAACGCATCGTTAATTTTTAGTAGAATAATGCAAAGGCAAGATTCTTAACGGTGCTGTTTTTTTTTAGTCTGTTTGTGTTGTGACTTTTTATGTCATGGCACAATTAGTTCACGTAGTTCGAAGTGCAATCGGTGATAATAGTTTTGCTTAATTAAAAATAAAGTAGTTTGCAGATATATATTTAATCATAAAAGGAAATTAATTATTAACTGATGAGAATTAATTTTTTGACTATGTCATTGCAAAAGTGTCACTCGTTTATTTTTTTAAAAAATTTATTATAAATTCGTACTGATCATGATTAGATTTAGATTACCGGGACATGGTCATTTAATCATGCCTTATTATAAACTTTAAAAACGTTGAATTGCATATATAATTTTAACAAGAATTTTATTAGGTTTCCACAATGTTATTAAATATTCATTTTGCTTCCTAATACATCAGTCGTACATAATTAAAATGGGAAATAAAATATAACTCGCAAAAAAGACTATAATTATTTATAATTTACAATGGTATAAGCTTTTTAAAAAGAAATGTAAGTTAAAAATTTAGATTTTCAACGCACCTATAATCTAATTTATTATCCTGAAATCTAAATTGTTTATTACTCTCAATACATCCTAATTTAAACAGCAGTTATGAAGTACGATAGATATTATTTTGAAAATTTAGTTACATTTTCTCAGAGACGATAAACGGGATTTTTCAAATTTTTTTCTTTAAAATAAAAATATTCAACTTCCTTAAAACAATTAAAAAATAACTCAAATAAATATCAACTATTTTTATTTATTCTATCCATTAAATCATATAATATAATAAGCAATTTAACTCATATTGAATTATAAACTGAAAACAATTTTATATTTTTAGAAAAAAGGATTTTCAAAGAAGCTATTTCAATCGGTAGTTTCAACTCCCCTACAGTCGCAACAATCTGGAAAACATTAAGTTCTAATATTTATTTTCAAAGAAAACTTATCGTGAATGAAATCTATCATGAGCAAAAACCATCAGGAAAAAATTATCATTTATTTAATCTAAAACTAAAATCATGATCTGTCTTGTTAGCAACTGATATTCAATTTACACAACAAAACAGAAGCTAAAAAGAATAAGAATATTTTCGATAAAAAAAACAATGCTTTTATTTTTATATTCTAAGCGATTACCACGAAGAGAACGGAAATTTATTTCATTTTATTACAAATTTTTTCTGAAGGGTTCATTCAAAATGCAGTATAACATTTAATTCCAATACTTTAATTATTACTGATGTTTCAGAATCACCAGCGTTGTAAAGAACATTTAATTTAAATAATTTTCACGGTTTAATTCGTTTGCTTTTTAATTTTTAAGGAATTAAACTTGTGTTAAAATTTATTTAAAAATATCAAGAAAGGTATTTCAGTTTTTTACACTAATTATATTTTCTTAGTAATTAATTCTGAATCTTAGCTTCTAGCATTGCAGGAATTTTCGTATGAAAAATTTTAATAAAGTTTCCGTTATTTTTTTATGAATTTTTAATTAAAATACGTCCATAAGATCAATCATTCATATACTTTGTGCAAATTAACTTGTTTACTTTATTTAATATTCATTAATAAATCATTTTATGTAACTGGAAATTTTACATGCATGTTTCAATCAAATGATATCTAAAGATATTTAGGGAATTGTTACGTTAATTTACAACTTTACGTTTACAATTTTAAGCAATCTAATTTAAGTAATTTGCACTACGTTTTGTAAAACAAAATAATTTAGAAAGAAATTATGTATGTAAAAAAGAATTATTTATTAACAATTTATTATTCTATGATTTTAAGATGTCAACACAACAATTGTTTAAACTACTTAAAATTTCAGTTTTTTTTAAACTTAAATTACTACTTATATAAATGCGTATGTAATAATCACTTTTAGATTTAAGTTAATTATAACGGCTGTAATTATTGCGGATAAATATACTACAGATATAATTAGCGCGTGTGTTAACATTTTTTTTTCTACAAAATTAATTTTAAAGCTTTTTTCGTCCTTCTTAAATCTCACCCGTCTTAAATTCCAATGCTTTTCAAACTTCATTTTTTCTCCAATTCATTAAGGTGGATATTAGGGAGAATTTTGAAAATAAAATTATATAGGGATGCTTCTATTTGAAGAAACAAGTAGTCGATATTGATATCAATGACAATAAGTTTTAATAATATTAAGACGTAAATAAACTATTAGATATAATTTCTTGTTCCCTTTAAAAAATGTAGCTCACATCATTTTTGGTGCAAATTTATTTCGGTGCTGATTTGAGCATATTTTTAGCAGCATATTCGCACTGATTATTTCAAGCATTTTTAGTTTTGTCAATATTGTATAATTTTCAGTGATAAACTACACAATAATAAACTAGTATTACATAATATATTAGATATTATCTAATATAATCGATATTATGTAATATAATTGATATTATAGATTATAATAGATATTATGTAAACCAATAAATATTATATAATTTTCAACAATGAACTACATAATAATAAACTACAGTTCGGTATTTAAAAATTTATTTTTGACTTACATATAAAACTATACCAAAGATTTTTCTAAATATAAAACACTTACAAATACAGTTATCCTGCAAAAGATTGTATAAAATTGACATAATAACAATTGTTTGAAAGAATTAGTGTGAATATATTTCTAAATGTGCTTGTTTTCAAACTAAATGCTTTTGGAATGAAGTTTTTAAATTGATTCTAATATGCACGAAAAAAATACGGTGTCTATCAACAAGGACACAAATGAATAAATAAATTTTAAAAATACGGCAGTTAAAAAGTGAATGAAAAATGTGACAATATACATTGTAAAAAATTTTAGTTAATCTCAATACAAGAAATGGAAGCAACTACTTTTTTACAGGGTCGTTAATACTACTTCATAGATAAAATAGATAATTGCAACGTTATATTTATTCATAAATATTGTAAATTAGTTAATAATATGAAATTAAAATACATAATAAATAAGTTTGCATAAATATAGAAATAAATATTCATTTTGAAATAATGTTATGATACATTATGGTAGACAATAACATTAACCTGTAAATTTAAAAGCAACAATGAATACTTTGGTAAAATAGTAAAACTAAATGTAAGCCTATTTTTTATTTTCGAAGTTAACATTTTGATAAAACTAATTTTTTTGAACGATTCTTCGTAAAACTTTTAAAGATACGTTAAGCAATTCCATGATTATTAAGTTTGATACAACCTGTAATAATTACATAGATTTGATATAAACACAAAAGGAATTTATTTCATAACTTGAAAAAATGCCGAAAAATGTTATTTTTTATGGTCAAGAGAAATAAAATGACAAAAATGATTACGAATGAAATGCAAACATATATTTATTCTAAAGTGATAAAATCATTATCAGTTAATCATTAATCTATATCAATAATCGTTATCACTTAGTTGAATTATACAAAACATTATAAAATAGCTTAAAATACATAAATTATTTAGACATTTCTAGGAATCCTCAATTTATGAAATAATGAATCATTTATGTATAAAAAGCGAAGGAGTAAAGCAATAATCCTGAAATTAAAAGAACAAATTTGCATATAAATATGAAAATTAGTCACAAATTAATTTTTCTAAAACCAAGTAGCTATTTCGTAGTTCTTTATTAGTACTTCAGAACTACATACAAATAATTTGCCTTATAATATGCGAAAAATGAATTAATAAAGATCTACTAAAATAAAAACATCAGTTTATAATTATGCATTGTAAAAAAATCAGTTTTATTTCAGTTACTACATAGTATTAGTTTTTAAAAGAATATCATTTTTCATATTTCAGAGATGAATGACTAAATTTTATTCAAAAATTATTCTTGGAATTATTGTTATTTAAAAACTAGAATAAAAATTTTTCATTAAATTATTTTTCTTTATCTCCCTAAATGCTAACGATTAATTTAATTCTAATTTATATAATTTTAAATAGCTGTTGTAGCATTAATATTTTTTATTTGAGGGAATATTTAAGTTTATAATTCTGTTTAGCAATCCGTTATTTCAATTTTCTCATTTAAAAGTTTGTGTTAGTTAACAACGTAATTAAATTAAATGTAACTGAATTTTTAATCAAAACACATTAAAATAGCGAGAGAGGGCTGCTTTACTAGGTTGTTAAATCTTCTACTGAAAATATTTTAAGATTTAGAATTAATATTACTAGAGAAATATATAATATAGCTAACATCTAGCTAACTATTAGCATTAGTGAAGAATATTCTTCCATAGCTAATTGGTACTTGAGATATAGCTTTTCTTAGAAAATTGAATTAAGGTTATATCAGCTTCTAGTTAAATAATGTCACTTTATATCGTGAAACAACATTCTGTATAAATTAATAATAATAATGTCAGAATAGTTCATTAACTCTAACTTCAAATTTTTGTGATGATAAATTTTTTTTAGTGTGGATCGAAATCTTATTAGTCGATTATTAAGTAATATTAATTTAAGTTGATAATAGTAAATGAAAGGATAATTATTAAGACTTACGTTAACAAAATAGTTTTGATTTTTTTTAGGGAAATAAAAAATCTAGAGGGTTTTTCCTAACATAGTTTTTTATTTTTTTATAAAAATAGATTAATATAATTTGTATATATAAATACTAACCAAGTATAAGACCATATTCAAAAAACTTCCCAGTTTATATATGTACTTCTGGTCAAAAT